CCTTTGAATTTCGATTGATTGTGTTGTTCGCTGGTGCGTTGATTTTCGGGATCAGCCCTCAGCCTCATGCACCCAATGAGACAAGCGGAACGTGGACGGGACAGCACCTTATTGGCTGGGGGCTGCCCAGCTTGGGCGGGCGGTAGCTGTCCAATGAAATGCGAAGACTTCTCCCACCGTCGAGAGGAAGCCCCAGGTACCCCGCTCCTACGTCCATCTAGCGGGGGGGGTTTGACCGGTAAACTGCCCCTCACCGTGTTTTTTTACTGGACTGACCTCTCCAGGGGCGGGTGTGGATAGAGGAAAGAAGCCAGGTGCCCAAGCAGCTGGCGTTGTATTCATAGAAAGCCACACGGACTCAGATGGGCTAGTAATAATAGTGAAATTGAAAACATCTGCCAGTTAACAGGTGCGGGGAGTTCGACGAGTGTGTTTATTGGAGGGTGATGACCACCATGCCGTTACCTGATGGAGCTGCGGAGACCCGCCATGTATTATATTCACTTACCTTCCCCTTGTATCAATTGCGCCCCAGTGATATTCACCCCACGTCTATAAACACGTGCTTCCACGTCCTTGCCATACGTTCTCTATATTTTATTCTGTGACTGAGTGTCCTTTCATCAGATTGATACACAATTTATGACTATAACGTCGAAAGTGTGATTCATGTTCCCACAACTTCCATCCATTCACCTACATACAATCACCTGCATGCTGAACGTGATTTCATTTATAAAACTTGAACATTAACTACACCGCCCAAATCCCTCCCTCCTTGTTTACATTTCGAGACTATCTGTAATGATATTCATTTGACCCACTACTATCAAGTTATTGTGTGACTGCCTTCAAGCGTGCTGATGCAGAAGGCAGATCTCGACAAAGAAACGTGCAAGTCGCCGGAGGTCAAGATCAACGAGTGCGGCGAAAGCTGAACAGTTCGTAGATAGAAGCACTGACAGCAGGGACTAGGTAGGTAGATAGGTAGACAAGAATCAATGACCTGCGCCAACTCTTTGACTCAGACGAGCGCAGGAAGAATTTTGGCGGCCGGTGTATTTCCTGCTGAATCTTTTGAAAATCCTTCCGAACCCATAATGATTTGTGGTAAAATAACTGTATCTGTGTGTTGCTCTTATATTGACATTTCTCGATCACAAACACCACACATCATTATTTAACTTTATTTGTGTGTTGCTCCTATATTGACATTTCTCGATCACAAACACCATACATCATTATTTATCTGTTATAACTTCTATGACCTGCACATTTGAATTTTGCGTGGTTTGAGAACGGGAGCGACTGTTTGCCTCTCTCTTGAACATCTTATTTGGACACATTTGAATTTTGCGTGGTTTGAGAACGGGAGCGACGGTTTGCCTCTCTCTGGACATCCTACGATTTGAATGTGCGTGTTTTGAGGAACGGGAAGCGACTGTTTGCCTCTCTCTGGACAATCATATTTGGCTCGCTTGCTTGAGTGCATTTGGCCGCATATTTGAGGTTTGCTTTATTGTAAATTTGTAATAATTTCGTTAAGTCAGTATCGTAGAACATTGCGGATCAATTGTTTTTAATTCAGAATTCGTATCGGTTCGGCTACGCGTCACTCAAGTGCGAATTGGTTGACGTACAATGGTCATGCGTTTTCATCAACAACTGAAAAGTGTTCTGGCAGCACAGGTAAACCGAGACTGGAAGAAGTCTCTACCCTTAGTCCTGTTAGTTGCAGATCAGCCTTCAAAGCTGATTTGCAGTCCACACCAGCAGAGTTGACTTTCGGTTGCACATTGCGTCTTCTACGAGAAACGGTGGCACCGACCCCACCAACTAACAGAACTACGGTGACTATGAAGCTCGTTTGGTACATCGTCTGCACCAGTTGCGTATTCAGCCACCTCGCCAGCAAACACCCCTAGCCCACCTCTCCCTAGATTAGCCGAAGACTGGCACGTTTCTCTCAGGCCAGAGGTTTGCGCACTATTGCACTCTCAATACAGCGGCCCGCATGAGGTACTTATACGCTTAGACAGTGGCTACGTCATAGAGCGCAACGGTAACCGTGAGACCGTCAGTATTGATCAAATCTAACCTTGAGGAAAACGTTACTTCCACTAATGGTCCCCCACCCGTTGCGCCAGCCGCAACTCCCATCCCAAGAATTCCTGCTCCGTCCACTTCCGATAACCCCGCGACACCCTTGCACCAAGCACCTTATTCCGACCGATCCCATCGGATCACTAGTCGCGGGAGAGTCCTTAAGATACCTACACATTTGGCCTTGTAGCACCTTTTACGCTTAGCAACGTACAGAATCATTTTGTCTACGACATCCTTTTTCTATTTCACCTGTGTATCCGTAATTGCATGCAACCCTACCCCCCCTCCCAGAGAAAAGAAACCAAAAAGAAAAACCCACAATCCTCTTGTCATTTTTTCTCCTCTATGGCTCACGTTTTTTTCTGTTTGCACATCTACACAATAGAAAAACACACAGAAAACCCCAAAACACCTTGCCCTTTATTATTGTGCCTCTTTTCGCCTCACCGATCAGCTCCAACAATGGCTGCTTCGACGATTCTCACCTCCGTTCTCTTCCAGGCTCTGCAATGAAAACTCGGGAGAAAAACTTGGGACAAGAGAACGCAGCGAGAAGGAGGATTGGCACGTTCCCCTCATCAACCACCGCTCCAGCACAGAATGGGTATCGAAGACCTTTTTCCGACAGCCCCGTCAGTTTTTTACTGGGTTGTGCCCAGCTGCGACGGTCCTCCTATTTTCTCTAAAGACAAACCAGAACGAGGCAAACAGCAAAACGACAACGGACCTGCATATGCGATTACATGATGTATTCTTGCTCACATATTTCTATTATGGGCCAGCAACACCTGTCACACCACCGAGAAACATTCCGACAGCTGATTCCCAATATTTTCGTGGCAACACACAAAGCAATCCTCCTCTTCGGACTTGCAAACCACAGCAAAGAATGCATGCACCCTTATCGAAGGCCGTCCCTAGTCTTCTAGGGGGAGCTCTATATTGACCGACTAAATCCCATTCTACACGTATCCTTCCTCCTGTGCATCTCGTTGTTTTATCAAACCAAGGCCACCCCTTTTATTCAGCAATTGTCTGTTTTCTCTTTCCGCACACTGGCTCACGCTTCCGTATCTCTCTATAACTCTGCAGGTTGTAAGTCTTGGAGTAGTACTCGTGTTCGAGGTTCGCGCCCAGTATTCTCGGTTCCGGAAACAAAACAACAACAATAACAGTACAACCCGTCCTTCGTTTCGCGAATCGTCTCGTTCTGTTTTCGTACGAAGGTCCGCTTGCGGCACATACGTATTAGCCCGGGGTATCGATATGCCAGTGCCTACAAAAGCAATACTAGGTAGCATATGTACAAGCTGAAGAAAGTGCGAACGAGACTAGCGGTGCGTTAAAACGTCTTCAGCAACCGGACAGTCAACTCATGGAATAAGTTAGCTTAGGAACTACTGGATTTAGGGATCGTACATGCAAACGTGAGGACAGAGTCGTTCAGGCTCAAGTCAGTACTATCGTGTCAGAAAACTCAAAGTATTTCTCCCTTTTTACAAAGTCATGGTAAGTCCGCACTTGGAGTACTGCGTGCAGGCTTGGGCACCCTTCTTCGTAAAGGATGCAGCCTGTTTGGAGAAAGTCCAAAGACAAGCCACGCGGAAGTTTGAAGACCAAAAGAGTAAGTAATTCTAAGACAGACTAAAAGACTTGGAGCTCTTCTCGCTAGAAAGGAGAAGACTGAGGGAAGACTTAATGGAGATCTTCATGATTGTGAAGGGGCTCTCGGGAGTAAGGAAAGGAAGCATGTTCCAGAAGGCTATCCACCAAGGGACTAGAGGGAATGGGTACAAACGGCATAACCAGCACTGCAACCTGGTTGTTAGATGCAGCTTTTTAAGTAACAGAGTAATAAACAGTTGGAATCGGTTGCCAAAGGAATGAGTAGATTTGTGAAGCGTGACTGAATTTAAGCTCGCTCTGGATGAGCAATGTATGGAGCTCTTTCCAGAAAAGGATCTTTAATGTATTATGGAACGCCTTCATGACCCATGTCCCTTGTTCGCCGATTAGGTGAAAGAAGACGAGCCTTTGGAGATAGGGCGGATGCAATTACGCGACCTGCGACAACGAGCCGATCTTTAATTCTCCCGTGTTTCTCGCTCACCCGGTATGGATCAGGAAGAACAGCCGGCTAGTCGAGGGGAAAGCACCGGAGTTTTAGCCTGACTATGCTCGAGAGTGTCTGAAAGCGAAAAGTGCTTAGCGAGAGAAGATGTAGCAATGAACTCACGCACCGGTAAAAGTGGAAGTTACTTCGCCGGAGGTGGCTGTGAGTTAAACAAAGATAAAAGACCTAGCTGAAGAAGCGGTCTCAGGTGATCGAAGATCCTGGCGGAATCTATGCTACAAAGGAGAAGGATGCACGAGCGAATGCTCCAAGCCATGAATGCCTGCACCATGCGAAAGCATACATGTGGAACAGGCAGACAACGGTGGTGACAACTCTCGAGCTTATTACACGGTCGGTCTCAAGCCACGGCAAACCTTTTCCCTTCCTTTTCAGGAAGGACACCGTACTGAAGGCGATTCGCAGTGGTAGGTGTGCAATTTGCGAGCATACTGTGGGAAGATATCTGGACGCTCGATCGGCTCGATTGACATTATCTGTCCTGTGCAAAGTAACGTGACCTTTCTCTTCCCTTGCAAAGGTGGAGACGACTGGGACGAGAAGAAAATGCCTAGAACTACATAATAGAACACTCACAGTGGTAGGGGCCAACACGTGGCTTCTACCGAAGGAACCCTTGACGCTCGATCGGCCGTGGTCATCTCTTGTCCTGTGGAAACTTACTTACTGACTGACTGATTAACTGTAGCGCAGTTGTGACAGTGTCCTTACGCAGTTCAAGGTCGCGTGTGCACGTAGGCAGCGCCAGTCTCAGGGGATGACGAATTTTAATTCATTTGAGGAGTTTGCGAAGGCGGCCGAGGTCTTGTATTTAGTCGATCCCATGAAGGTAAAAATCACTCAAGTGAGATTCAATTATTTTTAGTGTCGAGTATGTACAAAATATAGACATCTTGACAAAAAACTGAGCATCAAAGTGACAGACAATCAAATTGCAAGTTTTAATATATGACTATCGAATAGTTCCATTGTAGGTTCTAAAATACGTCACGGATATGGCACAGGATGTGAAAAAGATTGAGAAGTTCACCACTCTTATTATGCGGCACATGGCATCAAAAGAAAAATGAATTACATTTTTGATTTCTGTCTATCATTTCGGTGATTTCTCTGTACACTTGTTTGAAACGATGGCCCGGTTCTGTACAGTGAATATTGTATAAATTTCACGGATTGGTTTTGCATTTTGAATTGGGGAAGGGGCTAATATTCCCAGGTGATCGTTGTTTTTCATTCCCGCTCTATTATTGTTAGGTTTTTCATCGGCACCGCGTTCTGTTCAGTCTCAATAGCTTATCCACTCTGTATCAGTATCGAAATGAACAGGATGTAATTTTAAATTCACTCCACTCATTTGTTTACCACCTTGCTAACGGCTATATATCCGTCTATATTCTTTCGGATTGAGGAGCATTGCGTGTTTTGACGTAGGTTTCGCTCTATGTTGCATGCATTTGAAACAGATAATAGCTAAAGAGCATCAAGTCGGGTGAGGTTTGCGGGAAACTGCGAACCCCGCGACGTATAATATGTACGAACACTGGCATTTTTATTGTCAGCCAGAAGCCACCAGGCATACTCAGAATTGTAGTCGCTTTGTGCATTTTGGCCTCGTAATACCCGGAGTTCTTGATAAAAGTTTATTGGGACCGCTAGAGCCTGAGCATAAAGAGAAATCAAGAACAATAATGGCGAGCTAAGATATGCGTCCATGACAATTTCAGACCTGCGTATATGCTTGACAGCTTAGAGGTGGTGATAGTAAACTCTAAATCGAAATCGGTTTTCCTTTCGCAGTTCCACTGCGGGTGTCAAAATTAATCGCTGAGAAGAAGAGGCCACCGGAATCATATGTAAATCCTATCGAGAATGAAAAGTGTCTGATGATCATTATCGGCAATTTCGCACATCTACCATAATAAGAAACAAATTAATCAACAAGCTTAACTTCAGTATGATAGCTCTGGTATTAAACGGCGAAAAATGATCAGCGATAGAGAGTGAATATATATTGTTATCCACATTGGCACCCTGGATGACAAGAGTTTTGACAGAAGACCGAAAGCAATAACTTCATTATAAGGGGTGCGTACGTGTTCGAACCGGTCTGCAAATGTCATTTGTACTGTCGAATGAACCAAAAACATTGACGATTTGGCACTCATTTACTACTGTTTTCAGTTTGTACAGCCATTAACCACGCATATTCGTGCGCCGGTTTTGGTTGCTGTCTTTTGGCTGCCCAATTGGATGAATAATAAAAGAAACGAAGTTGAAAGTGGAGTCGAACAGAAAATGGAGAAGTTCAGTGCTCTGAAGTTGCAAAGAAATTGAGAAAATGCACGAACGCCACTATTTGCGACACCCAGCCATATCACTCAGAGTCTCTAGCCATCGTTTACGATTATCCCGTGGTCCCCAGCCAGGGAGCCTAACAGGACCTATGTGACGCAGTCTCCTGATTAGGCCATCATGACGAAACTGTATCTTGACGCGGTGTGATGGTTTGCGTGCCTCCATGACCCTGCGAGCTACACAGGATGGCTTTTCACAGCCGTAGATCCAACCATGCCTGAAAGGTCAACGGGTAGAGGCCAGATGAAGCTGTCTCACAAACCAGCTGCTTGGGCACCTGGCTTCTTTCCTCTATCCACACCCGCCCCTGGAGAGGTCAGTCCAGTAAAAAAACACGGTGAGGGGCAGTTTACCGGTCAAACCCCCCCCGCTAGATGGACGTAGGAGCGGGGTACCTGGGGCTTCCTCTCGACGGTGGGAGAAGTCTTCGCATTTCATTGGACAGCTACCGCCCGCCCAAGCTGGGCAGCCCCCAGCCAATAAGGTGCTGTCCCGTCCACGTTCCGCTTGTCTCATTGGGTGCATGAGGCTGAGGGCTGATCCCGAAAATCAACGCACCAGCGAACAACACAATCAATCGAAATTCAAAGGCCTTGCGTGACAGGTCTCTAGAAGCTCCCGCAAGGCCTTTGAATTTCGATTGATTGTGCTGTTCGCTAG